CATGTTATCTCAGGAATTCTGGGAGTTGAAATCCACAAGTCTTAAACTTTTTTTTTCTATTCTATTCTATTCTATTCTATTCTATTCTATTCTATTCTATTATACATTCTATTCTATTTACTCTACAGTCTATTCTAGTCTACATTCTATTCTATTCTACATTATTTACTCTACATTCTGTTCTATTCTATTCTATTTACTCTATTCTACATTCTATTCTATTTACTTTCTATTTTGTTTACTCTGTTCTGTCCTGCATTCTATTCTATTCTATTCTATTCTATTCTATTCTATTCTATTCTATTCCAGCCCTTTGAGAGCCGTAGACCACAAAATTTCATTTTAATGTATGCCATTTAGTGTACATTCAAAGTGACAATAAAGTTATTTTAAGTTCTAAGTCGAAGGTTACTGAACGAAGTGTTGTAGCTTGAGGACAATCCGAACCTCTACATGCACCCCCTTGTACTTCCACATTTTTATTCACTTGGTCAACTCACAACTTCTGTTTCTGCAGAAAGTGGACCTTACCAGCAAGGCTGTTGCAGAAATCTTGGCTAGAACCACGGAATACTTGCAGCCTAACCCTGGTGAGAGTTGTGTCGTCATGGTCACAAGCCTCGTTTGTCCCGTTCTGTTGTGGTTTTTGTTGAGAAAAAGCTGCATGGGCCGTGTTCCCCATGGAAACTATAGAAATACGTCTCGCTATCTCTCGAGGGGAAAAAATGCTTTCCTTTCCTTTTCCCTTCCCTTCCCTTCTTTTTTTCCCTCTTCCCTTGTCTCTTCTTCTTACCTCCCCTTTCTCTTCCCTTCCCTTCTTTCTTCCCTTTTCCCTCGCTCCTTGTTCTTTCCTTCCCTTTCCTTCCATCTTCCCTCTCCTCTGCTTCCTTCCTTCCTTCCTTCCTTCTTTCCCCTCTCCTCTCTCCTTCTCTCCCTCCCTTCTCCCATTCCTCCCTTCTTTTATCCCCTCCCCTGCCCCCTCCCTTCCTTCCTTCCTTCCCTTCCTTTTTTTTCCTTCTTTCTTTCCTGTATTATGTTCCTAAGTCAAGATCTACCCATGGTTCATCTGAACACAGAGAAGGCCAATTCCAGTTCAGTGGGCTATCCCAGGCATTGGTGATGGTCTTCTCTGGGCGATTTCCACCCTGCGGTCCAAGAGGAGGGCTGGGCTGATCCAGCCAGCGGGGCAGATTCTTGTAACCTGTGGTCACTTCTTGGATCCAGCCTACATTCCTGCAGGCTTTGCAGCCCCATTTGTGAAGTAAGCCCACCAGGGATTTATTACAAACTTGGCCATAAGGCTTCAGAAATTTCTCCACCCTCTCCTCCCCCTTCCTTTAAAAATAATAACACACACACACAAAAAAGAATTGGCAAGCTTCACACCCAGTTTATTTTCTGCTCCCTACCTTGGAAAGCAGAAATCTCTTTCCAGATGCTGCGATATTTCGGGATAATGCTTTTTTTTTTTTTTTCCCCAGTCAGCAAGGCAAACTGTGATTTTTTTTATTTTTTATTTTTTTCAAAACTGCAAATCAGGTGAAACCGGAACTCTATTGACTTGGGTTAATTCAAAAACAATATCCGAAATAGATAAAATACTTAAATCTTACACATATTGACAGCGGCCAGAATAACTTATGCGCAAGTGTGGAAAGAGCGTATGGCCCCAACAGAGGAATTAATTTAAAAAAAAAAAAAAAATAGCAGACTGTGCTGAAATGGATATGCTCACACACTAAAAATAAGAGAAAAAGAAGGATCGGAATCCTGCTCAGTTTGGCATAGATGGTACCTGTGACCCGAAAAGAGAGATAAGAATGAGAAAGGATGACTTATTAAGAGAATTCTCAAGAAAGTGATACGTAAGATGCAGATAGACAAAAGGGTTAAAGAGGAATAATAATAGTAATTGTAAATAAAGGCAATAGGTATTAATATATATGAATAGACGATAGAAATGTAAGATAATACTATATGTTCGTGTTAAAGCTGTTGAAAAAATTAATTAAGATGTGTAGTGGTGGAAAACAATAAAAATTTATTGTTAAAAAAAAAAGAAGAAGAAGAGAAGCCTTGATGTCCTCTGAGCTTGTTGGTTTTCTTCCAGTTGTTTCATTACCCATCTGTGTATCATCAGTGGTAGAAGGGAGTACGGTTTCTTCTTATTTTTATATCCTTGTGGCTCACTTGTAAGACTGATGACGTTTCCTAGCTGGGTCATGAAACGTCTGCAAGATAGCCAACAAGCTCAGAGAGCACCGGGGAGTCTGCAGTCCTCCCCTCCTCCTCCTCCTCCGCCAACACCTTCTTCTCCTGTGCCGCCTCCTCCCTTCTCCACAAATCCCACTCCTTTCTAGCACTGATGATGTTACTTAGTTGGGTCATGAAACGTCTGCAAGGTAACAACCAAGCTCAGAGAGCACCAAGGACCCTACAGTCCTTTCCTCTTCCTCCTCCTCCTCCCTGCAAATCCCACTTCTTTATAGCACTGAAGACATTACCTAGTTGGGTCATGAAACGTCTGCAAGATAACGATCTAGCTCAGAGGGGACCCCACAGTCCTCCTCCTCTTCCTCCCTCTTCTTCCCCTGTTGTTCCTCCTCCCCTTTTCTCCTCCTTCACACACACCCCACTCTTCAAGGCCCGCTCCCTTCTACCACGGATGATGTTACCTAGTATGGTACTGAAACGTCGGCAAGAAAACCACCCAACTCAAGAGAGTATCAAGGACCCCCACGGTTCAACCCTGACCTATGACTATTGTATTTTGTGAGCAAGGCTGCAGAGTGGGGACTCAACCATGGCCGTTTCCTTCTTTCCCTTGTGCCAGCCTCCCGGGCGAAACTGACCATGCTGAACACGGTTTCCAAGATCCGAGGGCAAGTGAAGAACCCAGGGTATCCACAATCCGAAGGCCTCCTGGGCGAGTCCATGATGCGATACGGCAAGGAGCTGGGCGACGATTCCAACTTCGGTGAGCATCTGCCCCTCCGCGAAAGGAATGGTTGGCGGAAAGTTACATCCGGCCTCTAGGTTTAAAAAAAGATGGATGGATGGATGGATGGATGATATAGGTAGATACTGTAGCTAGATTAGATAGCCAGGTAGATAGCCAGATAGCCAGATAGATAGATAGATAGATAGATAGATAGATAGATAGATAGATAGA